TTTGTCCCAGCAACACCTATCTATTTATTCTTTAAAGTCTCTTGAACTCTTCCCATGATGCTAACTGAACTAGAAAGAGCTTCTAAATTAAGGAAGAGGACACGGAAGAGGCCAAGAGATAGAGTGTTGGGATGGAGGAAAGCTACGTTAAGCATTTAAACCCATGAACCCATGAGTATGTGAAGTCAGTGGGTCCAAGAAAAGACCTCTGAGAGGAGCAGCCATTCATATTCCTCTAGAGATTCCTTTTCCAAAGAGAGAAGGACTCTTAGCAAAATAGAATGACTCAGTGACCATAACAATGGACTTGACCATGGCAGAGATCTTGAGGATGTTGCAGGATAGGGCACGTCTCAGATCTGTGGTTCATAGGGTTGCTGTGAGTCATAGTTGACTTGATGTCATCTAACAACAAGGATGGTGATAATTCATAGTTGGCTTGATGGCATCTAACAACAATAATACCAAGCGAAGTACACAGATCAAAATAAAAACCTGCAACCTGTGAGTGAGCAAATCTTCAAGGAGGAGGAATGCATGGCATCTCTCCTGTCCTCAAAGATGACTTCTTTTGTTGCACTTGTAAGAATTTTGTGAATTTTCCCTTTTCAGAATTTGACGCTCCCTTAGGAACTCAACCAGGAAGAACACATATACCACTTTCTAGAATTTTAAAACAAAGCAGAACAAACACCCCGCCTCAAATGCACTGCTGTCAAGTTGGAACTGATTCGTAGCTGACCCACCAGTGCAGCTTCTGAAGCTGTAAACCATGAGGAAGGAGGTGCCCGTGTTTCTCACAAGGACTGACTGGTGAATTTGAACTTCTGGGAAGTCACCACCTTTGGGTGAGCAGCACAACTTCCTATATGGGCTAAGACCCCAGAGCTCCTTTCTAGAGGTTTTTGGCTTTTGGTTTTTGGTTTGTTTTTTTTTTTAAATCTAATTAAAAAGAACGTTATGAATACCAAAACAGCCATCATGGAGTCCAAACTGTGGTTTGAGATTATTTGGAAGTGAGGTGGGGCACACATCTTTTGAAATAGGGTTATGAGTTCTGCTTTTCTTTTCCAAATATAAAAATGCAATATCCAGGTAGGCTATTGACTCTTGGTCAGTATCCACTTAATCTTTGAAGTTATATGACTGGTTCTATCTATTCCGCGTTGGAAAAAGCACTTTTCTGGTTGGAAGAATTCTCCTGAGCCTAGTTTCAACACAGAGTCCTTGGTGGCACAGTGGTTAAGTGCTTATCTGCTAACCAAAAGGGTGGTGGTGGGAACACTTGGCTTTTCTGTGGTAGAGAGAACTGACCGCCTACTTCTGGAAAGATTTATGGCCTTGGAAGCCCTGTGGGGCTGTTCTACTTTGCCCCATAGGATTGTGATGAGTCAGAATTGACTCAGCCACACACAGTGGGTTGACACTTTGATGCAGGGTTCAGTAGGGGGAACACCCCAGTTCTTCACCTTTACACTTTGTGGGGTCCTCCTGGATGGAGAGCTGGGAGCAGCCCCTGCACTCTCAGTCAGTTTATCACACCCACATGTCAGTACATTTGCATCCTTCCCTGACCTTCCCTGTCCTAGGAGACTCCTAATCCGGCCACGCTTCCTCCCCTTCTTAACAGGACACCAGCATCTTTGCTCCCCCTTCTCCCCTCTTCAGTTTCTTTCCCCACATCTAAGAGCCACTAAGTCTCTGTTCTGTTGAGGCCTCCCCTCCATGAACCAAAACCCCCCATTCTTCCAAAGGCATTTTATGAACTCTAAAAAGAGTTGCCTTATCTCCTTATCCTTTCTTTTGCTTTCATAAAATATAATTCTTCTTTTTCAAACCTCACTCAGAGGAAAATTTTATTTCTATTTGTGATGTGCGCGTGTTTAATCCTTGCCTTTTACAATTGAGTGGAGGCTTCATGAGACCACAGACAGCACTAGGCAGCCTGAATATTGTGGGTTTTGGGGATTCTCAGTGTTCTTATGGCTTTGTGATAAGAACTTGCATTGACAGCTCGGAAGTACATGGTTTGAAACTAGCAGGTGCTCTGTGAAGAAAGATGGGCATTCTCCTCCCATGTGATGTTCTGCCTCTGAGAGGTCAGCTGTGAGTTGCTTCCAACTCAGTGGTAGATAACAACCATCCTTTTGCACATTCTACAATAAATAACTTGATAGCTTCTTTGGGATGCACTGAGTTTATATTTCTTAATTAGAAAACCTGTTCATAGTAGTGACAAGGCTTGCAAGCAGTCATCTCGGGTACAACTATTGGTCTTTCCTGGTTTGGAGCAAAGAAGAGTGAAGAACACTGAAGACACATAGAAACAACTAATCCATAACATTCACAGATCTTCTGTACCTCAACTTCTAGTACAGTGAGACCACAAGCACTAGACAAGGCCCAGCTCCAACTGCTGACTGCTCTAACAGCGGTCACAATAGAGGATCCTTGACATAGAGTGAGAAGTAAATTTTGAACAAAATTCAGAATTGGTCTGACAACCTAGTGGAACCTCCAAGATTATTAACCCTCAGCCACTCTTGGAACCTGGAACTAGACTCACTCCTCTGACACAGTTTTCTGCTGATAATCAACAATGTCGTAGGGTGACGTGGACATGGTAGAGATTGTGGGCATATGGAGAGGGCAACGATTTGATCTGTTGTTCTTGCGGGCAATACAACTCCCAGTCCGCTTGACGACACCTAACAGACTAAAAGCATAAAATGAGTACTAAGGCTAGGGAGGAAGTCCATCTTTAGAACAATCAACTACACATGATTGAAACAGGGCAGCGTTAGCCAGGGATTAAAGCTTGAAAACAGGAAGGAAAAGGAGAAAAAGATTGGATGTAAACAAGGACAGCAGAAAGTGGAAAGAGTGGTCATAAAACATGAAGACTGCAGTCAGTGTAGTGAAACAAGACGTGCTTGAGTGGTTGCCTACCAATCTGCTCAGGAAGCTTTAAGGCAAATCACAATAAAAAGGGAAAAGAAATGTATTTCTTTGGCTAAATGCCCGTGCTTAACCATAAAACTATAAACCATAAAACAATGTGTTTTCCCCTCTTCATAGTTAGCAATGTAAAATGCTTGTTTTGTTGCAAAGATTTATTCTACATGTTTTGAACCTTGCTCTCTAAACTGATAGGTGGCTGGCTTTTTGAGCCCAGTGTTTTTGTCCCAACAAGGATTTTTATTGTTCTCGCAATAAGAGGTTTCCACTTCTTCGAGTTGCCTGCAGGTTTCATGAAGTAGGGAGAAAAAAGAAAATTTCCAAACCAGTTAGTCTAGTCAAAGCACTTAAGCCTTTGATATTAGTTGAACCCAGTGAGAAAGTTAGGCAGGGATGGGAGGTATTTAATAGATAATCCACTGTATTGCCCCTTTTAACTGCTCAGTCTTTGGTGGGAACCCAAAATGGTTTTCTTTGTCTGCATAGAGCTAAGAACAGTGGGGGCACGAGAGAGGCAGGGTTTGATGAGAAGACCCTGGTCAGGGAGCGGAGAACTGGATGTACCTGGGCTTCCAGCTGGCATGTTCAGAGTAGTTGTGAGACTGACATAAGGCAGTTCTCAGAATGTTCCTAGCTTCACACTTGAAATAGAAAATGCAAAACCCACCGCCATCAAGTTGGACATCAGAAGAACAGAGAGTGTTCTACTGAAGAATCCATTGCATAAAGTAGGACGTGGTCAAACTGTCTCACAGGATTTCCAAGCATGTACACCTTTGTGGGGACAGATCGCATAAGCTTGTTCCTGAGGTGTGACTGATAGGTTTGACCCATTAACTTTAACCATGCTGCCAATACGATCCCTGAAATACATTAAGAGATTAGGGGGTTTTGTTTATGGAGATCTTAAAGACATCATTTCAAAGCCCTGTTTTCTCCTACAATCAAAAGGAGGATATTGGCATGCCTAAGATTCTTCACCTTGCTTAATAAATATGTGAAGGCTAATAAAGAAATGTTTCTTTGACGTCAGCATGTGCCAGAGCTAGGTACATGTTTCCCTTGGCTGATTATTGCATGTATTTTAGAGTATATGTCCTCTAAAGGTAGTTCATGTAGAGCACACGTAATATTTTTATGTGAGGAATGGTGGAGAGGGACAGCCGATAAAGTACTCATGTGGGTGTGTGTGTGTGTGGGATGTGTGCGCCCGTGCGCGCCCACTTGTGCCCTTTCTTTACAAGAGATGGACATCAGTCAGCTAAACTGTGGTTTGAGATTATTTCAAGTATGGCCCTGAGTACAGCTACTCTGGAGAGAGCACACTTAAACAGGGATTTTAATGAGGAACACCACAAAGCCAAGGAGTGGATGGGAAAAGAATTCAGGTATAAGAAAAAATATGAGCAGACGCCTTGAAATGTTTGGGAACTCAGTAGGTTCATGACTTGAAAGACATGTTCTATCTAAGAAGGAGTGAAGGGGAATATTACTCTTGGAGTTATGAGCCAGGAGAAAGAGTTAGAACTGGAAATTAACAACATCCTTCCAAAAAAGACCAAAACGAATCCAGGAGACATTGAGTAGGCCCAGACTCTTAGAGACCCATGAAGTAGAAGGGAATTCTCTTAGAGGCCTATGTGTGTCAAAGTCGAAGTAGAAATCAGGCTGATTTGATAGCATGTCCTTGTTTTCTGCTACCTACACTATTAGCTTGTTGAGGATGGGGATTTTGTATACTCAGCATTTTCTGCCCAGTCCGTTCCTTGGTGTCTGCCATCTCACAGATATAGAAGGGCTCGAAACGTCATGTATCTCCACCTTTTTAGTCACACTCATAAAGATAACTGGCTTGAACTGTGGTTGAGAAAACTGTCTATGAAGACAGAGAGTCCTAGGAGCCAGTACTGGCATTCTGACAATTTTAGCCTCACGTTTTGCATCAGTAAATTGGGAGTCATAAAAGCAGCCCCTTCTGAAAGCAACACATATAAAAGAGATGCATGAAATAATGAATGTTTCGTTTGTGTTTGACTTTTTAGTCAGGTTTAATAAGGACAGGAAAAAGTGAATTCCTCATCTCACCGTTACCTCAGCTGCTGGCCCAGGAACACAACTACAGCTTGCCCGCCGGCCACCACCCTCACGTCCTCTACAAAAGGACAGCGGAGGACAAAGTGCAGCGGTACCATGCCTACCCCAGCTCCCACCAGAATTATGCTGGTCACCCTACAAGTGGCACCCCCCAGGCACCTCAGAAACAGCAGAGAGATTACCACCATGGAAGGCTGCACAAGCAGCATTTTTGTGGACGACGCAAGAAATGTATGTAAGGAAACTTTTTCTTGTTCTGTCCTTCCAGGTTTTCTTGAGTGCTTTTGTGCCCTTGAAAAAAAAAATACCCAGACCTCCACTTCCTTTACTTCTGATGAAAGAAAATCAGAGGTAGATTCCTACGTATGGCTGGGTGTTCTGTTAGAGAACATGAAAGAGAGGCTTGCCATGAAACAAGAACGTAGGCACCAGAGGAGAGATGGGGAGATGCCAGGGACCCTGAGACATGGTTTGTGGCCCCGATAGAATTGCTGTATATTTTTAGACCGGCAACATCCAGTAAGGGGACTCTGGTGGCCTAATGGGTAGAGAGGAGCACTACAACCCAAAGGTAAATGGTTTGAATCCATCAGCCGCTCTGTGGTAAAAAGATGGACAGTAGCCTTCTGTGCGATTTACAGCTTCTGAAAACATACTTGAGGGTTTGAGCTATCAATTGATTCTGACTTGACAGAAATGAGTTGAACACCCAATGAGAGTATTAGTCCCACATGGAATTTTAAATTTTCTACTAGGAATTCTGCATGTCTTTAGTGGCCACATTTCAAAAAGTTTGAGAACTGAAAAAAAAAAAAAAAAGTTTGAGAACTGAATAATATTGATTTTAATGACACATTTTTATGACTTGAATATTACCACTGCAGCATGTAATGTACCTTCTGTATGTATACTGAGAAAATAATTGGAGAGCCTGGATTATAGGAAGAAGAAAGTGCCTTCAGAATTGCATGTGGATGATCCAACCTTGCTTTCTGAAAGTGAAGAAGACTTGAAGCACTTACTGAAGAAGATAGAAACCTACAATCTTCAATATGAATTCCATCTTAACATCGAGAAAACAAAAGCCTCACCACTGGATCAATAGGCAGCTTCATTATAATGGGAGACAAGATTGACGTTATCAAGAAATTAATTGTATTTGGATCCATAGTCACCAGTCATGGCAGCAGCAGTCAGGATGTCAAAAGACTTGTTACATTGGCAAGTCCACTGTCAAGGACTCTTAAAAGTGCTCAAGAGCTGCAACTACAATCCCAGAGGCGCACGGTTCGAATCCACCAGATGCTCTGCCGGGGAAGGAGGGACAA